TTTACATGGAACTTCAAACCACCATAAAGTTTAAAATGCACAGTCAATAAAGGAAGGGCCTGGTTAGAGCTTGAATGGACAAAGTTATATAAAGCGGCTTTGAGTGTCTTCAATTTATTTTATGTTGTTCCAAAGTCATGTTTGAATTTCAATTTTCATTAACCAACTGTAAAGGTTCTATAATACACAAAACTGACTCATGTTCTAAAAACAGACCTGAAGTTGTGTTTTGGTTCATTCACACACATGTTTAAATAAATCTTTATTATTAGTCTGTCTACATCTCCAAACTCAGAACGCTCTTTTCCACCTTGTGATGTCATGTAGTTTTCAAGTGAACAGCTATGTTTTACCTTCCAAATGATTCTAGTGAAGGTGTATGGAGTTTAATCGATAAGTCGACCATTTCCACAAGGTGGAACAGAGGTTTGTTTGTTTTTTTGAGAGAGAGAAGAGCTCAAGAACTAAGGCTAAATCTGCAGGTTTTTTGTGTTAAACATGTGTGAATGAAACAAAACACAACTCCAGGTGTGTTTGTGATGAGGAAACAACATTAGAACACAGATCAGAAAGTAACTAATATAAAACCTTTAAATGAATATTTTCATGTAACTAACATGAATTATTTACAGAGGAAACGATGAGGCAGCACGTTCATTTGCCTCTGTGACATATTACTGCTTTGCTTAGAATGTGACGCCACATTAAACATATTTTATCTTCATGGAAACAAGCAAGGACACCAGGTCAGATCAGGGAGACCTGTGACTGACCAATCAGAGGTCTCCTTCAGGAGACTCAGGTTAAACTCGGGCTTAGATTTCCTATTGATTACATTTTACTTTGCCATGAAATATCTAAATAAATAAAATATCTATCTGATTTTTATTACTGACTAAACCCAAGAACTCACTATTTTACAAAGAAAATCTGCATTTGAGCAAGATAAATTTTGCACTCCATCTGTAGTAGCCTCCTAGGTCCTGGCGTCCACACAGGTGGACATATATGTCCAACACATTTTGGGTTGTTCAGGCACTTCATAAATAGTTTTTGCAAATCATTATTCATTTGTGACTTTATTGTGTTCCATCAAAATGATTAAAACATAAAATGAATATTTTATATATATATCATATGTGGACATATAAATATAAAAATATTATAAGAAAATATTATTTTTTGTTTTTACACTCATCAGGTCCCAATCAGTCCAAATAACAAAGAGAAATCATTAAAGCCATGCAAGAGTTCAGGTCCTAGGAGTTTTAACTTACAGAATGGTGATCTTAAACCTGCCTGGACTTAAACCTGTGACCCTGTGGTTCTGGGGATGCCTGTATTTGGTTACCCTCCCTTCACATGTGTTGTTGCCTTTATAACTCTATGCAATGCACTGTTTTGAAAGAAATATCCAAACTGTGACCTTGAGGTTCTGGGGATGCTTGTATTCAATGACCCTCTCTCTTCATGTGTGTATTTTTGCATTGAGTGTCCAAACAAACAATGAGCCGTGAAGCTAAGGCAACACAGACTAAAATTTGAATTAAAAACTAAGAATTCAAATGAACTGATGACAAAAATCTGTTTCAACAAAGTGCAAATTACAACAAAACCTTTTCCAAACACACTTTGATTTTTTGAGGAGAGAGCTCAAAAAACATGTTTAAAAGTGCACTACTACCTTTTATGTTTGTTTCCATGGTGATGCTCTTAGGAATGTTTCGCAGTATGGCAATCAGCAGATCCATTCATTTGCACGTTTGTATAGGTCTCCTGAGATCTGACCTGTAACTTGGCCTTGGTGTCACCCGCTTGTTTCCATGGAGATAGAAAAATATACTGCCATACTGTGAAAAACTTATGCAAAAAGTTTTTTGTTTTTTTTTGTAGATTCAAATAATTTCGTAGTTTACATATGGAATATCAAGTAATTATCATATGGATACTCTTGCTTTATCTGGAATGTCCCACAGTATAGCATTAAACTTATTTGTTTCCGTGGAGATAGATAAATGTAATGCCATACTGTGAAATTTGTATTTGGGACCTACACCAGAAAGTTATTAGCTTTAACAGGTTTTCTGATCTATGTTTTGTTTCATTCACACATTTTTAACAGAATCCACCTTGTGATGTCATGTGGTAATACAGGAAGTGCTCCAATTTGTTTTTAAACTCCACACACCTTCTCTAGAATTATTTGGAAAACTTCAGCCCTGGAATTGCTTACTGATTCTTTTTTTTTGTAATTTTGCAATTTTTTACAGAACATGAACGTGTATTGTGTATTACAGGTGGGTAGTAATTACACACGGGGGGGTCAGGACTAAACCAGGTCTAAACCAGGACTAATCTTGGACTTAAGAGAGAAAACGCAGAGCAGTTTGTCCGCAAAGTGCGATCAGGCAATTGCCGCGTTTAACTCCATGAGGTGTGGAGCTGAGCCGGTCCTTTCTCCTGTGGTCACCTCTGAGCCCGTCCTGACGGTGAGTCCTGTTTCAGTTCTGGTTTAGTCCTGGTTTAGTCCTGTATTAGTCCTAGTTCAGTCGTGGATTAGTCCTCCTCTTCAGTCCTGGAATCAGTCCTGGGTGAGTCCTGGTTTAGTCTTGGTTCAGTCCGTGGCGTAGGCAGCACAAAAGTTTGATATAATCTCGGGTTAATGGGCAGGTGCGGTCCTGTACTGCGCAGGTCCAGTGTTGTACTGGGGGTCTCCAAAAATGGACCCGTGCGGGACTCTGCGCTGTTGGGCTCCATTACGGAATAAATGAATCTTCAGTTTGTTACATAAAGAAGGAGGAAAATAACACAAGAACGACAGCAGGAACAAGTTTTAAGAAGGAAGTAAAGTGTTGCACCTGTCCTGTGTGAGAAAAGTGTATAAAGTTTGTGCTGAGGGGTTTTACAGCCTTAACACAGATAGAATAATTGTAAAATATAAAGTTGATACTTCGCGGATTTCACCTGTCGCGGGTTATTTTTAGAACGTAACCCCCGAGATAAACGAGGGACACTGTACTCTCACCTCACAACCTGTGCACATGGACTCCCACTTGGCCCGACCGGGATGTAAAACGGAGAAATTCTTGTACAAGTCATTGTTAAATGCGCATTTGTGCTTCAGTATGTTGCAGACTGACCGACTGTTTGTGTCTCGCTCCTTCTGAGTCACAGACACTACGAGAGACGCTCAGTTTAATGCCCCCAATGAACGGTACTGAAAACCCGGACATTTGCATCACTTTATAAAAAAAAAAAAACCCGGACACACCGGACATGACGCAAAATACAGACATGTCCGGGGAAAAACTGACGTTTGGTCACCCTAGTAAACATGTGGGAATGACACAAAACACAACATTACAACATTCTAACATGACTTAAGCTGGATAAAGACGGAAATTTATATTGTGGAAAGATTTCTCTCAGTCTGTCTTTGTGTAAATGAATGTGATTTCTATTTTAGGCCAGATCAGTCATGGACATGTGTAAAGGCTCAGCAGACAAAACTGTCTCAGGAAATCCTATGTTGTCTTAGCTGTCCTCAAGTTAAGTTGACAAAGTCACTCTGCTTTGATATATATGTAACTTGTATTTCTGTATAAATAGGAGGTGGAGTAGGACAGGAGAGTCAAACTCAAATTCAGAGGCCAAAATTAAAAACTGGGTTTGGGTCTGGGTCTAAGTTGTGGGCCAAACTAAATATTTATTGAAAAATTTCAACAACATCTGCATGTTTTCTCTTCTTTTGAGTTAATGTTAAACCCTTTCTTATTCAAATAAATATTTAATAATAATTTTGCTTAAACATTGAATCCAGAACAAGCAAAATATAAAATAATAACAACATTTTAAATAAATAATATCTCTATAGTCTATCTGTAGCCGGAGGGCAGCTCTAATACATATTTGATATGATCTCATGGGCCAAATATATATATATTGCGGTCCAAATTTGGCCCCCGAGCCTGAGTTTTACATGTCTGGAGTGGGAGATGCTGTGAAGGGGATGGAGGAGGAGATGTTCTAAGGAGATACTCTGGGGCTCTGGGAGGAGATACTGGGAGATGAAGAGAAGGGGTGACTGGAGAGAGGACAGGAGAGCACAGGAGAGGCAGGCCTAGGCTCGTCCATATCTGCTTAAAAAAACCCCAAAAACCTTTGTCTGTGTTCCAAAAACTCATCAGGCTTCGCAAATAGATAAATTATTTATCATCAAGAGATACATATTTTGTCAATTTTGCCTAATATAGGCCTTTTAAATTTACACAGTATTAGTCAGGCTAGTGCCACCTAGTGCCTCCACTCAATTTTATTTCTCTCCAGTGACTAGGTCAGGAATCAAAATACAATAGACGGTTCGCAAAAACCCCTCAAGTGCAAGTTTGGGCACCAGCCAGTGAATGAAGAGTCATATATTCAGTGTCAACGATTCTTAAGATCGAGGATTTAAAGCTGAAATAAACAGAATGTTTGGTGAATTTTATCAAGGGGAAAGACATTATTGCCCTTCTTCCTACAGGTCTTGGGAAAAGCTTAATATACCAGTTAGCCCCGTTAGTGGTGCATTACATGCGTCACGACCAAATAGCAGCGATTGGTTAAATGTACCCGCCTACCACCGAGCAAACGAAATCTAAGGCTGGGAGGTCACACGGTTTCTACGAAGTGAAACGAAGTAAAACCGGCTGATGAATCAGGGTAACACGGTATGGCATGAATTTTCAACTCTAAACTCATATCTTCAACTACAGTTTGTTTTTTTACTCTAAGTATCTGACACTGTGAGTGAGGTTGACTCTCCACAGATTTGACCTGTAACTTGGTCTGTGGATGTTACCTGCATGTTATATCCATGGAAATCCATCACTCGAACTGTTACATAATGCACTTTTTAAATAAAAAAATCTTAACAGATATGAACCAATTAAGATTTTTATTATCTTATCACTATAGCAACCATACATTTTTCAAAATAAAGTTCAGACAATCTCTTTTAATAACAAAAAAAATCACATTCAAATAACATCAAGGTTTCACAAAATTCCTGGACTTTTTAACTTAAAGACATCATTGTTTGTGGTTCAGTCCCGGCTTCGACCAGTTCGCGTTGTTGTGTCCTTTGGCAAGACATTTCAAAAAGCTCGTCTTTCTTCAGTATGTATGATGTTGGTGGTGGTCGGAGGAGGAGCCATTGGCACAGATAAGCAGCCACACTTCATTTCACATCAGTCTACCCCAGGGCAGATATGACGACAGAAAGATTTACAAAAATAGATGAACAGTTTAAGCAAGTTTCTATAATGTGCATTTTTATAATATTATTATTATTATTATTATTACACTACCAGTCAAAAGTTTGGACACTGTCTTTCTACATTTTATATACACACAGAAGACATCAAATACACAGTGTAGGAAAAATGGAATTACGTAGCAAATAAAAAAAGTGAACTCATTTAAATACAAGTTATATTTTAGATTCCAATTCTCACAGGATCCACCCTTTGCTTTGTCGACAGTGGTGCAAACCCTTGGCCTTCATGATGGTTTTCACTTTCCAGCTGTGCCACGTCAGGATCAAGAAACACCAAAAGTGCAGTGAGTAAAGTAAAGGGTATTTTAAAGGTCCACTGTGCAACTTTTCTGGTGGAAGGGCTGCCACCTGCTTGTGAATGCAAATACAAACTTGGTTATGACAATTTGTTGGTCAGGTTTATGGAAAAGCAAGCATGCAAATAGTAAGAATTCATGTTTTTTAAAGTGTTTTTGAGCTATAAAACACTTGTAATCGAGTAAATGCAAGGCCGATTTAATGCCCTACTGCGGAACATGGAGACAAGCAGGTAGACGCCCCTTCACCTTAGAAGCTTTGAGTTACTTTAAGTGCATTTTTTGTTCACGACATTCCATAAACGTTCAATCACAGTTATGAAAATAAAGAAGAAACATAAATGAAAAACTGTGTACAGACTTTTGAGCGGTCCTGTTTATCAAACTTCACGTCAAAACATTTCTATAATTTAGCGTGCATGAAATCGGCGAGCGGCAGAGTCCCCGTGGTTTACGCGGCGAGCAGGACGAGAGCCATGACCAGGGCGACCAGCTGACTCCAAGCTTGTGCCAAAGAGGGCGACCCTCCGTGGGGCGCGGTGGTGGTGGCGGCTTTGGTGGTGGTGGCAGTGGTGGTGGCGGTGGTGGTGCCGGTGGTGGCGGTGGTGGCGGTGGTGGCAGTGGTGGTGGTGTCGACAGGCTTAGTGGTGGTGGTGGTGGATGGCTTAATGGTGGTGGTGGTGGCCGACTCAGTGGTGGTGGTTTGCGCTTTGGCCTGAAAAAATTATAAATCATTAATACATGGAATGAAATAAAATAAAATAAAAATAAAATACACCACCGCTCAAAAGTTTTAGAACACCACACTTTTTCCAGTTTTTTACTGTTGACCAAAACGTATTCTAAACTTTTGGTTCATGAAAGTTTCCACCTTTGGCAGATAGAACAGCTGAACACACTCGTGGCTCATTCTTTTTACAACAGAAAACAAATATTGTTCAGAAAGTTCTTCCCAAGTCTGTTGCAGAAGTTCCCATGTGTGTGGCACTTGTAGGTTGCTTCACTCTTCTGTCCAGTTCATTCCAAACCAAATCAATGGGGTTTAAGTCTGGACACTAAGTTCACCATCTTGTTCTTTTTTCGTGAGGTAGTTTTGACAGAGCTTGGACTTGTGTTTTGTATCTTTTATCTTTTTTTTAACCTCTGTCTGTTCAGTTCTTACCTTTGTACCATTTCAAGCTCTTCATTGGACTTGTACGACTTGAATTGCAATAAACAACTGGAAAAATGTGGATGTTCTAAAACTTTTGACCTGTACTGTAAATATATATGTTGTTTTTTCTAGGAGCCTATAGTCACATTATATTAATCTGACCAGAAAAAAAGACAAATGAAACAAATTCCAATGAATTACAACCCAAACTAAAAAAAAAAATAATAATAATTAAATAAATTAATAAAAACTTTTTGAAAGAAATATCCAAACTTTTAAGCAGCTCTTGAGGTCAAAATAAGTCCTCCATGTGCTGTCTGTGTCTAATTATATAGCGTTACAATGTACGGTAATCAGGAAGTGCACGTTAGCATGCTAGTTGCTGTTTACTGTAATGGCAAAACTCAACAGTTCGAATGCATAAGGGGACTTATGAACTCGTTCTGTTTATCACGTTTTTGAGACAGTGAAAATCAGATATAGCGCTTCTGAAGTCCTTTCTTTGGCACCATTCTCTGAAGATATTACAATAAAATTCTCTCATTTGTTTATTTATAGTGACTTAGAAGACGCTGAACTCTGTGCCAGTTTTTGTTTCATAGTCAAGCCCTGTGATTATGATATCAACCGTAAACCAAGTCGACAAATCTGCCATTTCATAGTTACACAACAAACCCTGACCTCTCTCCGGCTCGGTTTAAGTGTCCACTGATTCTGAGTAGAGTTGTTTTAGCTGTAGACACATGAGCCTCGGTGGCATTAGTCCCGCTTTGAATAAATCTGAAAAGTACACACACTTCTTTGGACCGGACACACACTGGTTTAGACTGGACACGGGCGATTTTACATAGAACATGGAGCTCACACTTATCGCACTTACGTATAATACAAGCTCGCACACACAGATACAACACGTCCAGACCTGATGAATGATGTGACACTGTATTTTACTATTTGGATTTAACAGTAAAATGTACCACTATTTCCATGAATGGAAGTACTACGAATACTACTACTACTGCTACTACTACTCCTAATTATTATTTTGTACTACTGCTAAATTACAATACAATTACAGCTACGTCATCTACTGTTACTACTTCTGCCACTACTACTACCAATACTACAACTAATATTTCTTGTACAATTCCTAAAACCATTACTACTACTACTATAACTACAAACAACTACTATTACTACACTATCGTTGTTACTACTGCTACTACCACTAGTATTATTAGTACTACTATAATTACTAACAATTACAACTACATCATCTTCTATTACCACAGCTGCTACTACTACTACTACTACCAGTACTACTTGTATCACTACTAAAACCATTTCTACTACTACTCGAACTACTAACAACTACTACTTCTACACTAATATTTCTACTACTGCTGCTACTACTACCAATACTACTTGTACCACTACTAAACCATATAAATACTAACAACTACTACTTCTACAGTACCGTTGCTACTACTGCTACTACCACTACTATTATTACTAACAACTACAAGTACATCATCTTCTATTACTACTGCTGCTACTACTACTAATTCTACTACTACTACTACTACTACTACTACTACTGCTACTACTACTACTACTACTACTACTACTACTGCTACTACTACTACTACTACTACTACAACTTGTGCCTACTACTGCTATTTCTTGTACCACTACTAAAGCCATTTCTACAACTATTATAACTACTATAACTACTACTTCTACACTACCATTGCTACTACTGCTAATACCACTACTATTAATTACTAACAAGTACAACTACATCATCTTCTGTTACTACTGATGCTACTACTACTACTACTTGTACCACTACTAAAACCATTTCTACTACTATTACGACTTCTAGAGTAATGTTTCTACTACTACTACCACTACTACTAATACCATCACCACCACCACCACCACCACTACCACTACCACTACCACTACCACTACCACTACTACTACTACTACTACTACTACTACTAATACTAATACTACTAATACTAATATTACTTCTACTAGAACCACTGTTATGGTCTTGGTCTAAAAAAACTATAAAACATTTACACATTTTCAGAGAAGTACATCATTATGTTACCAAAAATACTACTCTCAAATATTAGTAAGTAGATTTCACATTTTTCACTTATGTCACAAAAGTACATCCTATGTAAAGCCTACAGTAACTTAACCCTGTAGTATTTTGCATACTCGGCTTTGCTTCACTCCCTGTCGCAGTGGAAAGTATTAACCACACCAGAAGAAAACAGGGCTAAAGTTTCTCCTGTTCACACACAATGTTCGCCCAAGATTCCTATCGCTGTATTCTTCTGGGTTTGGTTTAGAATGATTCAGATCTTTGTATGAATTTGTAGTTAAAGTTTCATTGTGTAACTCTTCTGGTGGAGGGTTTCCCATAAGCAGGTAACACTTCCAGGCCAGGTTACAGGTCAGGTCCCACTCCCAATAAAAAAAAAAAAAAGTATTTACGAAGATTTTTTGTAGCATTTAAAACCCCTGTGATGAATACATGGGACATTCTAAGCAAAGAAACAATCCAACAGAAAAGTTACATAATGTTAGGCTTATATACTTGTAGATTAAATTTTTGTACATATTTTTTAACAGATAAGATGTACCGTGATTTAGTTTCGAAAGCCTATTCTAATGGTCACGTTGCAATAGTCACTAACGGCGCATTTCTGACGGAGTTTCTTATCAGTCCTTAAGTGTTCAGACGTTTGTTGTTTATAAAGTTATTCAAAAAGGTCATTTTCTTTTTATCGCTATCACAACGTTTGATTGTGTTGCATTTTGTTACCGATAAAAAGTCTACAAACAGAGACGAGACTGTGTAGTTTATGAGTCACTCTGGTTCTTTAGGGAGAACAGTGAATATATGGGACGGAAGAAGGATGAGAGGAAGACCAGAGATGAATTTTGTAGTCAAAGAGGATGTTGGTGGGCTTGTCAGGAGGAAGTTCTAATACAACATACTGTCAACATACGAGATTATTCGACTAAACTCAATTTGCCTACATATTTTGTCTTTCCTTCTGCAATTTCCTGGTCCAAAATTTACTGTGTGTGTGTCAACAGAGCTTATTGATATGAATGACCTGGAAATATATTACTTATAAAATTTAAAAGTGCGCTATGTAACTTTTCTAGTGGATGGTCTGTGACTGCTTGGTCTGTCTTTGCTTTTCCTGGAACATTCCACAGTATGACATTAAGCTTATCTATGGAGTATTTACCAAAACTCAGCTCAAACACGTATAAAATGATAAGAACATAGCCTGCATTATCACTTATTCTTTCCAGTATTCATAAGAGACCATTGTTTACAACCACATTTATGACATTATTGACCTAAATAACATGTTCCTGTCAGGCCCCTGAGCAAATCAAAACTGCTCGGCTCTCTGCTGCCCCCCTGAGCTCAGCCCATGCTCTGCAGTTCCAGTGCAGCACACACACACACACACACACGCGCACGCGCACACGCACACGCACACACAGGATCGTGATGATGCTCATAAACCTGAGTCTGAACTACATCTGTTCTGTGTATGTGTTGTGTAGATTTGATAAGAATCCAACCAAAACATATTAAGTAGAAGTATTGTGCTTTGCTGCAAAAACTCACTCTGTTTAATGGAGAATATTGTTTCCTCTGCTGTTTAAAAGTCTGTGATTAAGGAAGACTGTCCAAAAAAGAAACTGATTCAAATCTTGTGTGGTGTAAAACCTGTGTATGTGTTCCTAAATCATTATAAACATTTCTGACACATTATAATAAATTGCTGGATTCTTCATCAGCAAAAACTAGTCTAGAAATAATCCTGAAGTCTGGAGCTCATGGACGTCCATGTGTACAGAGCCTTACATTACTTATTTAGTCTTTTTCACTTTTGATTTCCACTTTTTTTTTTTAAAACCATAAACTACTACTATAATCTGCTTCTGAATAGTACAAGTGCGTAGTAACTATACTATACTCTAAAGCAGGAACAGACTGAATTCACACTGAACAAACAGAGTATTAAGATGGATTTTAGGCTCAGTGAATGTTTCATCATGAATTTAGGAGTTATACTCAAGTTATTACTGAAGTAGTTACTATTTGTTCATCATAAATTAAGCATTAGTTAATGTGTTATGGCTTATTAAAGCTCTTATATTATAAAAAATTGACTCATGCAAACTTTTAGCTATGTAATAATGTTGTTTCCTCCTCAAAAACAGACCTGGAGTTGTATTTCGTTTCATTCACAAACGTTTGAGTAACACTTTATTATTAGTCTGTCTACATCTCTAAAACTCAAAATGGTCTGTTTCACCTTGTGATGCCATGAAATGAAAAGTTTTCAGGTTAACAACTACCTTTTACAACTACAACTACATTTGACCTTAAGTTAGTTCATTAGAGTTTGACATTTCCAGGTCTGAAATAATCTGAGTGAATCTAGTGAAAGTGTATAAAGTTTAAAAACACAGTGGAGGCTTTTTTGTATGACTTCATGGCATCACAAGGTGGAAAAGTGTTTTCCGTTTGAGAGAAGAACTCACCCCAAATATATATTATAAGAACATCATAACATGTATCAGAAAATACCAAAATATGAGTAAATATTACAAAAATGATTTCATAAATAGTTGTTTTCTCCAAATAAATAATATACAAACAAGCAAAAACAAACTTACCCCAAAACTGTCCAAAGCCACCAGCGCAACAAAAGCCAGAACGATAATCTTCGTGAATCGCTCCATCACTTCGGTCAGTGTGGTCTGTATATGAAGCTGGCTCCCACTCTCCCCATTGCTTTTATAGCCTTAGATAACGGTTGCTAAGGAGGAGGGACTACCGGTAACAGGAAAACACAAATATGGCATGCACTATGTTGAGCTTATGCTAGATCCAGTGTGGTGTATTGTATGTAACAGATATGCCCTGCTAAGTGTATGTCTTTTGTATGGTGAACACTGGGAGTTACTGGTGTAGGTGTACATTTCACTGAGTTTGAAAATGGCCTAAGAAACGATGCTATGTGCTCGTCATTGTGCAGCATAGTTATAAGATTACACCAGAGATTACAGTAAGTCAAAGTTCTATGTTGACAATATGACACGATTTGAACCTGTGATCTTCTTGCATCGCTCCAGATATTTGGTTTCCTTCATTATTTTCTTATCTGTGTTACAATGTTGTTTCCTCATCACAAACATAACTAAGTTGAGTTCTGTCACATGTTTAATTAACACACAAACCCTGCATGTTTAGACTGAGTTCTTCTCTCAATTTGAAAATACTCTGTCCCACCTTGCAATGTCATGTGGTGATACAGAAAGTGCTCCACTGTGTTTTTAAATTCCATACACCTTCATTAGACTCATTTGGATGATTTCAGTCCTGTAATTGTCAATCTTTACTGAACTAAAGGTAAAAGGAGCTGTTAACTTGGAACCTACCGCTTCATGACATCACAAGGTGGAGCAGAGCATTTTGAGCTTTCGCATGTGTGAAAGAAACAAAACACAACTCCAGGTGTGTTTGTTTCTGAGGAGGTTATAACATTATAACATGTCTTAAAGTTCACTAGAGTCACTTTTGTGTAATATTGAACCATTAATAAAATGTAGCCCTTTAAGTTCTAATGTAAAAATGAGCCAACCCTGGGGCACACTGTCTGATTATGAAAAGGTCTTTATTTATTATTTATTGCATAAAGCTACACTTATGGCTAGTAGTTTTGCCAAATATCTGAGAGTAATATAATTTTTAAAGATTAAACATAGAACTAAAATGTGACCAAACCAGGAAAACAATAAAAGATTGAATAATAAAAAAAATAAAAATATATAAAAATCATAAACCGGGAAAACAATAAAAGATTGAATTGTAAAAAAAAATAAAAATAAAAATAAAAATCATAAACATTGTGTAACTTTCTGGAGGCGGAACACTGTGCTTCCATGGAAATGGAAAGTTACAACTTTACTCCAAAACATTCTCCTACATCTTATGCCACACAGTGGAATATTAAGTTTCATTTCATTTACATACATCAGTTCACAAATCACAAAGGTTATCAGATATGGAACAATCAATGAATAACACAGCAAATACAATGCACTCTTATTCAAGGATTCTTTTACCTTATGTAAAGGACTCTTTTACCTTTCTGGCAAAATAAAAATTACATTCTTTCACCTGGACAGAAGTGTTTTTTTATTTTAATTTTTTTTTTTTTTCAGTCCAGTTAACACAATTAGATTTTTATTTTACTATGGAACCTATGTGAACAACTGAGGGATTACACACACAACTCAGCTATTACTTGTGATCATTGAATGTTGACATTGTCTTTATGGGATTTCCATGTTTGATGTTCATTGATCATAACACACAAAAAGTTTAACTCATGTGCCTTTTCTGTTTCTTCTTCTCCAATAATGAATGAGGCATTGATACTTAGTATGGCACTGATATTTAAAGACAATCTGTTTGAATGAAACCAGATTTTGATTTTCTTTACAACTTCTAGAACATCATTAATGTTTTGTCCCGAGTAAAACAGAGTGGTGTCATCTGCAAATAAAGCACACTTAAATAATGAAGACACTGATGCAATATCACTAAAAGAAATTTCAAAAACTAAAGGCCTAAGGACCGATTCCTGGGGCACTCCACAATCAATCTTACACACATGACTTAATACTGTTTATCTGATTTCTATCTTTTAGATAACATTTAACCCACTGCTGCGCTACACCTATAATGCCACACACATACTATTTATCAGGCAATACTGTACAGTCATAGCCTGATTCATCTTCCAGTTTCACTTAATGAAAACCGTCTGACCTTGCAGTGTTAGAATTAGTTTGTTTGCTCGATGGTAGGCGGGTACTTTTTTAAATTTAACCAATTGTTGCTATTTGGTCGTGATGTATGTAATGCGCCGCTAACGGGGCTAACTGGTATATTAAGCTTTTCCCAAATCCCATAGAAAAAAGGACAATAGCGTCTTTCCCCTTGATAAAATTCACCAAACATTCTCTTTGTTCTGACTTTAAATGCTCCATCTCAGGAATCGTTTCCAACACAGATTGTATGGCTCTTCACTGACTGGCTGGTGCCTGGACTCTGGGGTTCTTGCAAACCGTCTAGTGCACAGGTGTCAAACATAAGGCCCGGGGGCCAGATCCGACCCTCCAAGACCTTTGATGTGGCCCTTGGGTGATTTTGTACTAAAATATTTTAATTATATTTTCTATTATAATATTGTTTATTTTCTACGGTGTTTATCAAAGCAGCATTTCCAGCGTCTGTGCGTGGCCCCTCCCACCAGAGCAGCACAAATGAAGACTTGTCTCTTTCCAAACGCTCTTAAAGGACGATCGTTTTGACTGTTGACCGTGACACCCTCATCAGAAAAATGTCCAAAATGAGAAAAGTGGAGCCGAGTGCAGGATTTTCCAAGAAAAATTGACTTATTCCTATTTACATACAAGTTAATGTTAAAACATTGTGTTGAAATTGCATTTTTCTTAAAGTTTCAGGTTGTTCATAATATTATAATATTTTGTAAAAGAAAAAGTTCATCAATTAAAAAAGATTTCTGTAATAGATTTGCGTTTCTCTGCACAAATATTTGAACTTATTGTTATTTTTGGGGTTTATATGCCATGAGTTTTCTGATCCGGCCCCTTTGGGATCAAAGTAGGTTGGATACGGCCCCCGGACCAAAATGAGTTTGACACCCCTGGTCTAGTGTATTCTGATTCCTGACCTTGTAGCTAGAGAGTAATGAAATTGAGTGTAGCCACTAGGTGGCGCCAGCCTGGCTAGCACAGTCCAGAGTATCAAACACGGTTTGAAGGTCTACAGAGGTGCTAGCTCCATCATGTTTTTGATCAGTAGTGTTTGAAATGGTCTGAGTTAGATCCATTCTTTCTGTGGCAGCAGAGTGATCTGAGTAAAATTCAGATTGGGTATTTGGAAGATGTTACATTTGTGAATTATTGTTTATTGAGCCTAAAAGCAAAATGTTTTTTCAGGACTTTAGAGAACTGTGGAAGAAGAGCTATGGGTCTGTAGTTAGGTTCTAGTTATAATATATATAGTACAGGAGAACTCATGTTTACTGCCTTTTTTGAAGAGTGGAATTATTTTGTGTGTAAATCCTCCTTTTGTCAATGATGAGTTAAAGATATAAACAAAGGGGTTAGTCATTCTCTTAAAAAATAAATCGATTTTTTTTGTTTTATTTTGATAGTTTTTTTTTTTTTTTCTCTTTTGAACTTTTGCAAGAAAGGACAATAAATATTAGGTAGAAATATTATAGCCAAAGGACCATGTCCATGGAAACAAGCAGGAGGAGGATTGTTTTTGAGTAAATAACAGCATTCAAAATACAAACAAAACAAACATGCTTTTACTTCACTAAATGTTTAGGCAAAAGAAAAAAAAATGCAGTGGAGCTATAAATAAAGTATACCAGGATTATACCAGGAGTACATTTGAACAAAGTCACAAGCTAAAAGCCCTAAATGAAGTCTAAATCCAATCTAGATGATAGATAGAACCAAAACAGGGTTAAACCAGGACCAAACCAGGACTAAACCAGGACTAAACCAGGACTAAACCAGGACTAAACCAGGACTAAACACAGGATTAAACCAATTCTAAACCAGGACTAAACCAGGTCTAAACACAGGACTAAACCAGGTCTAAACACAGGATTAAACCAGGTCTAAACACAGGATTAAACCAGGTCTAAACCAGAATTAAACCAGGACTATGACATTTAGATTTCACCTTACTGTGGGGTGACTTTAAGAATATACATATTTGCGTTGGTTGCCAGGTTGATAAGAACCTTTTTTATCACAAATTAAACATTGCCTTTGTCAGGCCTTGATTTATCGAGAGCTCACAGGCAGTGAGCACAAGAACACACTGTACTTCTCAACTACATTTGAATAACTATAGGTGAGGACTGACTGGCGTTTAGATACAAGTCTTTAACATTAATGAGTTAGTCCTGGTTTAGTCCTGGTTTCACTCTTGTGTTCAGTGGAGCCTTGGCTCAAAGATTCCACCTGTGCTCTCAGGAGTGAATGTCGTCATGCTGAGAGAAAGTGGAAGGACAGACTGCATGTGTCCCTGGGGGACAAAGTCGTTGTATTTATGAGGACCCCCTCGAAAACGAGATGGCGAGACATCTCAAGGGGCTTATCCTCCAAACAAAATAAATTCAAATTCAAGTCTAAGAGTCCCAAACTGATGTGCTGCTGGCTAAGATATTTAAAGATGTTTTTCATTCTATTGGGCCTTGTACAGTATTTTAAACTTGGTTACTGTGTCCCTCATTGGGGTGTGTGTGCCACCCTCTCTTAAACAGGCCATAATAATCCTCCTGAAGAGGTGCAATTTGGATGCTTCAAATTTGTCAAATTATAGGCCAGTTTCCAAACTACCATTTTTGTCTAAAATGTTTGAAAAAGTGCTGTACTGTCAGTTTCAAATGCACCTAGCCACAAATCACATTTTTGAAAAATTCCAGTCTGGTTTTAAGTCCTGACACATGTGCAGGGGGTAAAGGCACTGTGCTCAAGAGCTTTCAGACATATCACACTGACAGGTTTTTCTCAGATAATCTTGGGCCATTTGCTGAAATATATGAGGTCCAGATTTATTTGCCGCTTAAGGCAAAAGCAGACTCTGTTGAAGCACTACAGAAATGTCTTGCTGAAGTAAAAGATTTGGATGCC